GCTTCGAAAATGTTTTCACCATTACAACCACTATGCCATGGTTCGATTTGATCTTCCAAATGTTCATTCCGGTAATATTTACTGTCTTTGATAGAGAATGAACAATTCAAAATAAAAGCTGGAAAGAAGAGTCATGGAATTTCATCTGTTCGAAAAACTTTGGATGTGTACGTATTTCGCACGAACTGATCAACAATTTGTTAAAAACTGATTTCAAACATTGAATCAGCCAAGGATGCAGACAGTAGAGGATGATTGCGATCTGATCAAATATTTTAAGCATTATGTTCATTGATCAGGGCCTCTTTCTAACTCGATGAAGGAATAAATTCTTTAAAAATGTTGTATCGGATCTTCCTTTTTGTTTGTAGATGAATTCATCTCTTACACATTACTCTTTTTTGATCATCTTTGTCAGGATGTCCATCAAAGTCACGGCTGGGTATTCAGTCGTAGATTACTCGCTCTGCGGGGAAAAAACTGGTTCATCGACTCTGTCGCAGGTAGCTTTATGATCGAATGAACTATAGTCATGCTTCACTCAGTCGATGAGCGGGGCTTTGGAGTAGGATGTTGAATCTCCGATGGATCGATAACTGCAAGGGCATAAGCCGTTGAAATTAGACTGACAAATTTGGACAGGTCAGTATCTAATGGTTATCGTAACAATTTCAATCTGGGCCCCTCTATGCTTTCGAGCGATGCAGTTTGAGTTGGTGAATCTCGTTACGGAATCAAGCGTTGAGTATAATCGATTACTAAAATCATGACTACTAATAACAGCAATGATGTCGACGCACGCGGATCATAAGGTATGTATCGATCATTTTCAGCTTGCAACAATAACAAATCACAAATCAACGAACAAACGGATGTCTACAGGTCCTATGGTGCACATTTTTCAACAGATAAGCATAAATACATCATACAGAAAACAACAAGAACTGGGAATAAAGAAAGAAGTTAATGTGCTACGCAAACATAGTATCATGTATTTCATTTATTTCTGATTACGCGTTCCCTATTGAATGCGATTTTTTGAATGAATTAGATATCGGAACAAGTATATACGAAAGAGTTATAATGGTCATTAAAGGTGAAATAGTTGCAGATCATTGCGGACGCCTTATAGTAAATTCAATGGTCGCACTTGCATTCTAATGTTAAACTGAGATAATCGTATAAAATATATAACTTTCGGCGATGCAATAGGACTAAAGGATTCCGCTCTAGATAAACGGCAGGTAATAATGTGTAATAGGAACAAGTGTCGTAAGTATCGTGAATTTCACTGATCATATATCTTTTGTCATAAAGATCTCCATTTAAATTCTCATAACAATGACTAACACTCTTTATCCCAGTGTCTAGAATTTATTCACTTATTGGATATCCTGATGGGTACAGGAAAGCAGAAAAATTCGTGGTAGTGACCATGAATATCCTAATGCTCCGCCATGCGTACGAGACTCATGAGAATATAGAAAAATAGGTGTTTTGGGTTATTTCCCGCCTGTTTTATTCAAATCTGTCACTGCTATATATATATATATATATGTATTTGAATAATGGAATCTATGCGGTCATGGTGTCTTTTCTGATAAGTAATTAGTCTGATGACATATGAGCTACAAAACAGAAATCGATCTTTTTGTATGAGTTTCTTTGTAACCCAGCAATGCATTAGTCAGTATTCTAAAAAGGGACAGTAGTCAATGAAATACTGTCGCGGCATAGAGAGACGTTTTATGATTGAGTGTGATTTGACTGACACGAATGGTACTCAGTGCTCCGCGGATTTGAAGAATCGTCCCAAATTGTTTTGGATCAGAACATTCTGTCAAAATTTTGAGGGGAGATTTTTCAATTCAAATGTCTTTTATTTCTTGGGCAAGTGAGAAATGCAGTAGGCTTTAATAGTGACAATAAAATGGGAACGAAAACAAACTTTATATAAGCATCCATTTACGATTTTAGCCGTCTTTACTGCATATAGTTTTGGTACCCTGTCTGTTCCGGGAATCAGAGTGAATTCATACTTAAAAGGACAATGACGGTGTCTAGATACACCTAACATTGGAGAATGGACTTAAAATTCATATTTTTCTACCAAAGCTACCAAAGCTACACTTGTACAATCACACCACGTCTAATCTAATGCTCATGGTTTATCACGATCGAACAGCTGAAGTCATGGCCAACCTGCACATCTTGGTGCTTAACAAACAAAATCAGGATCTCTAACCCAATCATTACATCAAACCATGCTACTATCAGAGTTGTTCATCACCCAAACGATCCAAAAATCACTGCTAAGATTTTGCTCTTCTCTTGAGACTAACCAGCGTTTTCTTTCCTCTCAGAATATAGCGGTGTAAACTCCAAACGAGCTAAGTTGTAATACTGGAACCTTATCATCAGAAGACCTCGGTTGATTTCGATCGTTATCACCATTGGATGATACAATGCTAAACTTAATCAGCCATTGAATTTTATCGACTTAAAACAAGACAGAGATGAAATATGAAGTGCACTCTTTTTCCGAAGTGACTCAATGCAATTGAGAAAGCAGTTTCCTGGTGCTAAACATGTTATTTGGATTATATGGACAGTAATTCGGTGTACCACGAATGGATGGTTGATTATTCAACCTCTCCATCTAATCTAACTGCTTAGAAAATCATAACCAGAAGTTTCACATCATGAACGGACATTGTTATAGGAGAATGAATGGCATACTCTTATAGGGAGATAAAACAAGAAGAAGGATGGCTATGGTAATAAATACTCTTCACGAAACTTACCAGAAGGTATGTATGATATACAAGCGCTTAAATCTAGAAAACTTAAAATCGGAACACACTACACCAACGCACTGACGATGTCACCTCGGCTGGCGATGAAACATTTGCGATCTAAACGTCAAGCTCAGCGAACACAAGACCCCACACACTACGCCTGACTATATTGGAAACACCAAGGTGTTTTAGGAGCAAAAAGGTACAGATCAGTCAATAAGATTAAAGTACATTGCATTCCGGTGGTATTAAAAAAGCTCAGAATAACTAGTAACGCTCAGTCTCGCTATGGGAAAAAAAACATACTCTTTGGGATTTCTTAGATCATAAATGTAATACTACCATAAAAACGAAGTAGAACACAATGGCAAAACCACAGGAGAACGTATAATAAGGGTCATGCGAGCAAAGCAATATCATCGGCACACTCTAAGTCCACGATTTTGTTTCCAGAAGGGAACTCAAATCAGCATTCTTTCTTTTAACATTTTGCATATCATCTATGACAAAGTTGAAGGGAAACGGAGCGATCAAGCAATCCTGTCGTACCCCATTGGTGACAGTAAATGAGATGGGCAAGGTATAATGTGGCGTAGAGTGTTAAAGAGATTGTGCTCGGATCTGGACTCAGTCGGGGCTTCTCGGCTCCCCGGCTGGGGCGCCGAGGATTGAGATTCTCTTTGACTGGAAACGTTGCGGGATATAGTATGAAACCAAAGCCAGTGGCTTGAATGCACAATTTTCGACGTGTGATTCGGAAAATAAAACAAAAATTTCAGAATGAGATGCAGTAAATAAACAAAAACGTTGTTTATTCCCATATTTGACTGCTCTTGTTTTCCCTCTTTCTGTTTCTACGTTCTGTGTTAAATCCATGGATTTTTTGGGGCCTCATCTGTAAAGATTAGTGTTATGTATATATA